ATAAGCTGTTATCCAAATAGAGTAAGGGAACACTGCATGGTTTAAAAGAAAGCTGTGTGTCAGGGCCATATCCTTTCTTCACACCTTTGAACACTATGAGATTTTATATTGCACAAAGTTTGACTTTCATGAATTTATTTTCATTTTCTTTAACTATAATTTGGATTTACCTATGATAACTTGATGATCTAGTTTGTCCCTGCCCTCATCCTGAGTATTTATTGATCTTATCTACTTACTCTTTCTACAGATATAATAAATTTTATTTCTACGTGTATACACAGAAGTACATAGAAATACACCAGACAAGGTCTACAGGAAGTTAATGTTTATTTAAAAGAGATGTTTATAATAATTAAGTCCTTTATCATAGATAATTCTATCATAAAATCTCCAGGCTCATTTCTGAAACCAACATTTTATTTTCCAGCTATAAATACTTTTAACTTTTATTCTAACTTACACTCTATTATCAGTTAGTAGTAATGCATCTTGATTGTATATTCTACCACTATGATGTTGACCTTAAGTGTGGGACAAACAAGTTATCATTTGTTCTTCTGAATTCCAGTAGTGATTGTGGGCTCTGGGTTTGTTTTTGCAAGCTGTAGTTTCCCCATTCTTTTCTTCACATCCAACTTTCCTTCTCAAATGATGATCTAGTGGATTTATAGAAAATGCAGGTACAATAATAGATGCAAAGAAAATGCCTCTGTAGATATTCTTCTACTACTCTAACAATTGCACAAGGTCTAATAATTATAATTAATCTTTTACTAAAGGTATTTTACTAAATGTAATTCTAAAGGTATTTTTGCTTTTCTAATTAACTAACCAAATACGGTGTAATGGGTAAATTGATAATCATCACAACTGTTTCAGAAATAAAATAAATATACTCTGCTTTGTCCTGTAAATGTCTTTAAGCAAAACTATCACTTTAGTTATTATGGGACAGTTTGTTTGGCCTATATTTTTCCTAACATTGTTGTTGTTGCATACCGTTGAGTCAGAACTGACACACCTGATCCTCCAATAGGTTTTTAGAGGATGTGTTTGTATGGGAGGTGATTGTCTCTCTTTCTCCTGCTGCTGAATTAGAACTTCCTGCCTTTACGTGGGCAGCTCAGCTCCTTATCAACTGGCTACCAGAGCTCCCAACATCAGATAACACTATACATATTCTGTGTGATTTTTTTAAGTAAAAATTTAAGATTGAGGATGTTTTTGATGAATGAACTTGACACCTGTTTCAAAATAAAGTTATAGAGAAGTTTAACTTAGAATTGAATCTTCTTACCAAGACCACATTTTAGGCAACCACAGTAACCATCATTTCTTTTTCAACTCAGACCCTGGAGAAGGGAGTACTCTATTATTGAGCACTGGGGTTTTTGTTTAGCCTTCACTATTACTTCAAACATTGTGTCTTCACTGAGAGCACAAAAATATTTCCCTGAATCTTCCAACTCTAAGTTTGAAATGATGAGTTTGATAGATTTAATTTCTTTCTCTAAGTTTATAGAATAGCGGCCAGACTTTGCATTCTGTGAAGAAGAATATTGACTAATAAGGAGTATCATCTTGCCACTGAAAAGTTGCTTGTACCAAAAAAGAGAGTAATACGTCCAACTTGTTTCATACAGACATTGCAGATTGACATCTTCTCCCTCTTGCTTGGATATAGCTGATTTTTTTTGAGTAACTTTCTGGGCCACAGTGGTTCCTGTGGGGAAAATCAGAGAACAGAATTGATCCTCTGGCATAGTGAATTAAAATGGCCTAAGAATTAGATTGAGGGCCTAAACATATGATGTCTAAGATATTTGCTTTTTCTCCCCAATCTCCTTTCCTCAAATCCACACAAAATGCCATATTCTTTTGTGCCATCCCTTTGTTTTTAACATCCTTGCTCATGTTGAAGCCTTTCTTACCAGAGTAGATGAGGACCATGAACACCCATGGTAGGCTAGTAAGTGCCATGTGGCATATAGTCTTCTACCCAGAAGTATTTGACTGCTTCAAGCTCAGAGTTCTTTAAACTTGAACACTGTACAATAAATATATATATATATATGCAGTTCCTGAGTTCTAATGCTACGTCCCCAAACAGGAAATAAGGTTTGTATGTGCACAGACCACATGGCCTATGCATAGATGAGAAGAAAATCTGGTATGCATCAAATCTTCATTTTGCATACTTGTCATTCCTTAGTAATGAAATTGTATAATACTCGATAAAGCATATGAAGAAAAGTAATAAATGTGTGTTTGAGGTAAAGGGAACTGGACAGTGAATCAATTAACATTCTTGAGTTATTCAACGTGCTAGTAGTGGGGACTTATTTAAATTAGAATTTATTATGGATCTTTGGACCTCCTTGAAATCTACTTATGATTCTTTTATGCATATAAGAACTGTCCCCCATCCACAATTGAACAAAATTAAAGGAATAAACTTGTAGATAATTGGTTTTGTTTATAAAGTGTAAAGCAATTCTATCCAATAAAATTACTGCATTATTTTCTTAATAAATTCTAGATCTCTCTTTGAGTTGTTCAATAAAGAAAGCTTAAAATTAAAGGACATAAACTCAATCCTGACTTGCAGAATTTACTCAGTATTAATGTCTTTGTACCAAGAATAAAATAGAAGTCTTTCAAGATGTGTCAGGAGTTATATTCACTAGATTCTGAAAAGGACAAACATATTCAGCTCTGTTGCCTTCACATTAAACTTGCACCATAAAGTTATGTGTGCTAGAATTGTTGTGGTTTCATAGTTTTTATCAATTAAAACAAAGTTTTCAGTCTCATTGTTAAATTCTGTGGCTAAAAGTTTTATTTGTATAATAAAATCAAGGCAAATATTCCTAAGCATAAAATTAGAAGAATTTTTAAAATTTCCAACAGTGATAGAAACTACGTTTTTATCAAGACAAAGGATGTTTTAATCATTCCAAATCCACAACATCAAACACTTTCTAACCCATAGAAATTGTTGTATTATCTTTCAGTATTACTTAGTTTATCTACTTTTGACTTTATTTATGTAATTAAATAGTTTTTACATTTGACAGGAATATTTTTCTAGGTATGATGTTATTCATGTTATGTGTAGCAATCATTTTGTCTATTTTGTTGCTGATTACTATTCCATTGCATGTAAATGGCACAATTTGTCTTTTTTTCAATTTCTTGTATGGTGATACTTTGTCCAGCTTATTGCTACTATGAATAAAGTTATTAAAAGCACTGTTGCTTGTGTACATATGCTGCAATGTCTCTTGAGTAAATGTCTAGAATTGAGTCAACGTACATGGTAGATATATGATTAAATATAACTGGTTAGGATAAATCTAACTGCTTGGCTTTTTTCATCAATTTGTTCTATAAGTTATTTGTATCTTGATTTAATTAGTTATTTTTATAGATTTATTAACTATATTATTTATTTTAAATCGTTACTCTAAAGTTTTTAAGTTTTCTTTTTAAATTTATGAGTCTACTTTAAAATAACACTAACTACGTCACATTCAGGAAATAAAAAACTAGTTGCATTAAGGGGATATCTGCTGTCAGGGGCCTCTCCAAAGTGCTAAAGAGAAATTATATCAGTCTAGAGACTAAGATGCACCTGATTTAGTCCTTGGTCTCCACAATTACTTGCTATGCATCAGAGAGCTGGACAATGACTAAGAATGACAGAAGAATTGATGCCTTTGAGTTGTGGTGCTGGATAAGAATCTTGAATATACCCTGAGACCAAGAAAATAAACAAATCCAGCTTAGAGAGGGTGAAACCAAGTTGTTCCTTAGAGGCAAGGGTTTTTTCCCCTCTTTTTAAAATTGATATTTTAATGAAAGTTTATAAAGAACTTGGATTTCCAATTGTTTATTGTTGCACATTACCCTCCCTGGCCCCCAGCCCCGATTGCTTTTTTCTTTGACGAAAAAGTTCTTTAATTGTTATACAGTTCCCCACCCTCTGCAAACCACTTTACTATGCAACTCTTATTCTACTCTTGTCATGCCAATAATACCTAATTATATATTCCTTTTATATAGTTCTCTCCCTTGTCTGTTTCAATGCTGTGTAGATTATCTATTCCGTCTTTTCTTAGTTTCCCCCAGCCCCCATGTCAGTCCTGTTTCATAACAATCACATTATGCTGTTTATGTCTTTTTGGACTGAGATATTTCACTCAGCATAATGTCCTCTAGGGTCACCCATTTTGTATAATAATTCATGAGTTCCTTGTTTTTCAGTGCAGCATAGGATTCCATTGTGTGAATGTACCACAGTTTCTCTATCCATTCATTTGTTGATGGGCACTTGGATTATATCCAATTCTTTACTATTGTGAACAAAGTCACAATAAACATAGGTGTGCATATATCTTCTTGGGACGCGCTTCTGGTTTCTTTAGGGTATATTCCCAGTAGTAGAATTGCTGGTTCAAATGGTATTTCCAACTTTTTGAGAAAGCGCCATACAGCCTTCCATAGTGGTTACACCATTTTACACTCCCCCCAACTGTGAATAAGGGTTCCAGTTTGTGCTATTCTGTTAAATTTTGCTATTCTTACTGGGGTGAGATGATATCTCATAGTTGTTTTGATTTGCATCTCTCTTAGAGCTAGGGATTTTGACATTTCTTAATGTGTTTGTTATCATCTGAATGTCTTCTTTGGTGAAGTGTCTGTTCATATCCTAGACCGATTTTTCAATTAGGTTATTTACCTTTATCTTGTTGTAGTGTTCAAGTACTTTATAAATTCTAGATACAAATCCCTTATCTGACATGTCATTACCAAATATTTTTTTCCAATCTTGGATTTTAAAGCTCATTCTTACATACTTTGACCAGGGGTAGCTAGTGGTCAGGCTGATTTGTTTCTGTAAAACTTCAGTAAAGAAAATTATACAGGACTGTTTATTCTATCAGATGAGATTGCTATGAGTTGAGGGGGAGGCAGAGAAAATGGAAGCATCTAACCATATTAATAACAACAATAACAATGTGTAACCTAAAATCAGTCAGCATATCTGCCCATCTAAGCCCTGACAGCACGGATTGACTGGAGTCCAGCTGCAGGTTTGGGTAAAGGCTGCAGGTGCCTGGAGAGCACTGTGCACTTGCTGCACAGAAGTAGGTGGCTGAGTCTCTAGGCTGGGAAGATGCGATGTACAGAGAGAGGTGTTTGGCAGTTTTGCTGAAGAAGATTGTGAATCTTCCTTTTTCCTTTTTATTCACAACTGAACTTATGTACATCAAAAGTACAAGGCCTTTACCAGGATATTGCTGGTACCATTGGAAGTAGTTAAGTGCACTGTTCTCATAAGCACAGTTCAGCGCTGAAGTCCTTCCTTCCTGGACGATTAGAGATGGAGGATTTTGTTTCACTTGCTGTTGGCTGCTTTTCTCTGTCAGTTGGCCACTCACCCCTGCTTTGAAGAATAACAAAAAAGAAAATAAATCATTAGACCCTCAAATCTATGCTTCCTCCTTAAGTTTCATCCTACGTTAGTTTTTCCTGACTCTGTTTATTTATCTTTTTTTATTCCCTCAAGTTAATAACCTATCTTGTGGTTTCTCCTCCACAACTCACTGTTGAGCTGCAGCCACAGAACCAAAAAGGACGTTCCCAGAAGCGTGTCCATTGTGCCACTAGCAGAGCGCTGTGACAGTTGAGCTGCTTTCTGTTGTTCCCACAGCTGGGACCCTGACTTTAAATTCACACCCACTTCAATTCTTTTAACATGCTCCACCCTTTCTCAAGTGCTTTTACCTACATATATTTCCTCAAAGGAAATATTTGACAATTTTGTCCAAAATGAGAATTTATTCATTTATTAAGAATTATAAATCAAGTTCATTTATTAAGAATATGAAATTCCTTCCTAAAATGTAGATTAGGTTTAATTTGAAATTTTCTTTCTCCTGGTCCCCTTTACCTTTCCAGTGTTTAGAACTGTAGACCTGGAAAGCTAAGCTTGTTAGAAGAGGTCACACCTGCTCCAACAGCACATATTTTGCAATGATGCAAGGAGAGTGTCATGAAGACACATGATCATATTTTTTTAATATTATTCTATTTAAAATTTGCTTTGAACATAAAATAATATGTACACTTCTATTGCGAGTTAGGTTCATGGATCAAAATATAGAAAAGATATATGACTTTTGTGCCCTAGAAAACATAAATTTTATTATCATTTTCATATGTACTCAATCTACATGATCTTAAATATAATAAAAGGTAATAAAATTATTTTTAAATTTTGTCTTCTAACAATTTAATTAATGAATTATAAGATTATACTATTGTTGTTGTTATGTGCCATTGAGTCGCCTGCAACTTATAGTGAAACTATGTACAACAGCCCTAAATCCTTCTCTATCTTGTGCCAATATGACCATCTCTGACACACCTACTCCCATTACCCCAGTCACTGAATCAGCTCCCATTACCCCAGTCACTGAATCAGTCCTTCTCATCGAGTGTCTTCCTCTCCTACACTGTCCCTCCACCCTCCCAAGCATCATTGGAAGAGATTGTTTATCCTTTCCTTGAAGAGCAGCTGGTGGGCAGCTGATGGGTTTGAACTGCATGCCTTTGAGATTGCACACAGCTTCCTATCACTAGGATACCAGAGCAGAATGCATAAGTATTTTTTGTAATTACCATAGAGTTGAAACAGACCCATAATAGGCCCTCTAACAGTACTCTTCAGAGTACTGAAAAGCAAAAATGTCAGTCTAGAGACTAAGGTGCTTCTAATCTAGGTCATGGTCTTCCCAATTACTTGCTATGCATCAGAGAGCTCAACAATGACTAAGGATGACAGAAGAAGAATTGATACCTTCGAATTGTGGTGCTGGAGAAAAGTTTTGAACATACCATGGACTTCCAAGAAAACAAATATGTCTGCCTTGGAGAGGGTAAAATCAAGTTTCTCCTTGGAGGCTAGGATTTTGAAGCTCCCGTTCACATACTTAGGCACTTTGCCAGGAGAGATTAGTCCTTGGAGAAGGATCTCATGCTTGGAATGGTGGAGGGACAGCGTAGGAGGGAATATTCCAGATGAGATGAATTGATACAGTAACTGGAGCAATGGGGGTGATGTGTAGGATTTTGTGAGACTGGCTCAGGATAGGGCAAGGTTCAGAGCCGTTGTACATATAGGGTCGCTATGGGTCGCAGGTTTCTTGATAGCACAGAACAACACAACAACAACAACATACATGTTTGTATATATATGTGTGTGTACCTTCTATATGTATATATAGATACACACATACCTTTTATATATATGTGTATGTGTGTGTATAAGTGTGTGTGTTCTGAACATATATGCATTCTGATAAACTGCAAGAGAAAGAGAAATAATCTGTCATGTGATTTATTGCCTCTAAAAATCCATTGTAGGGTCAGCTATGAGTTGGTTCTAACTCAGTAGCAAACACTGCATAGTGTACTCTACATACAACAACAAATACATATACCATACATACCTATATGTGTGATTTACTGCCTCTAACAACCCACTGGAGGCCAGCTTTGAGTCTGTTCTCAACCAATAGTACATAACAACATAAACAGATTAGTTAATGTGATTGGTTGTATCTGGGACAAAGGGAGTTTATGTTAGAAAAGTTTAGGTAACACTGACCTTGAAATATGGTCGGTATTTTCTAAGACTTGTTGGACTACACAGTCAATTATTATTCTGCTTCAGTGGATTAGAGTAAGCATAGATATCATTTAGGAAAAGAAACATTTATACGTAGGTAAAACGGAGGAGTAGTGAAGGCGAGGAAGACCCCCAATGAGATGGACTGAAACAGTGACTTCAGCGATGAGTTCTAGTGTTTCAGAGATGATGAGAACGCCACAGAATAGGCAGGGTTCAGGTTTGCTGTTCATCAGGTCACTGTAGGTCATACTTGATTCCACAGGATCTAATACCTGCTTGTAGGCAGGTAGAAAGATGACTCAATCAGATGTTTTGAAGCAGAGTGAAAGATAATAATTTATAAATTAGATTCTTTTAAGGATAAACTGTGGCTACCTGTTGAATATGTATATATGACACCAATTGTACTTCCTCTGAACCAGTATTGCCCCTTTGTGGCCATCTAGGGAAATTGCATTGGTCAAGTTCTTTCTTCAAAGTTCGAGATTAGAAATGTTCACATCAATCAAAGCACTGAAATAAATCATTGAGTCTTCCTCCTGAGTCACCAATTTCCTCAAATAGAAAGATTATGTCCTTCGTGTGGTCAGCCGTGAAACCTCTGCTGCTCTCTGCTTAGTTGTCTTGGGAGGGTCTGAAAGCCTTGGCTGGGCTGATTCACAGACCAGGAATGAATGCTACTTCTGAAGCATGCATAGTAACACCTGGATTGCAGTGGCAAAAACTGGCTTGTTAGACTAAGTTACTGTTTGGATTTTCTTTCTCATAATAGCATGAAGGAGATTTCTACATATTCAAGAGTACTATATCTTTGCCAAATTTGGGATGATCAAATCTTCAAAGAGTTTTAGTCAACCTGATGGATGAATGGGTATGAATTGTGGTATTAAACTTCCATATTACTAATGACTTTTTTATTATTAGGCTTGCTTTTATTTTATGTTCAATTAATTCATTATCTTAGTAGTAAGAACATTAATCGTATTTAGGTCCAAAGATCCCTTTCAGGTTTCAGTTACTACAATTAGTATTTTATTATGCTTCATCATGTTAACTCTCTTTTTAAAAAGTTTATTTTAGTGAAAATTTACAGAGACTTTGGATTTCCATTCATTCATTGTTGCACTTTTCTCCCTCCCCACCCCTCCCACCCAATTCGTCCTTCTTTTTGAAAAGTAGAAGGAAAAAAATTCTTTCATTGTTTATTCATCCCTCCCCCAAGTCCACTCCACCATGCTACCTTCTTTCTGAACTCCTGTCATACCAATAATACCTAATCATATATCCTTTTAAACAGTTCTCTCCCTCATCTCTTTCAATGCAGTATACATTATTTATCCCCTAACACCTATGTCAGTACTCTTTTGTAACAGTGGCATTACGCCGTATTTGTCTTTTTTTGACAAAAATATATTTCACTAAGCATAATATCCTCCATGGTCTTTTGATATAGATTAAGGTTAGCAAACTTTTTTTGTGATGTTGTTAAGTGCCGTTGAGTCACAGGCAACTCATAGTAACCCTAAGAACAAAAGTCCTGGACACTTCCTACATAACTTTCGTCCTTTCTTCAGGTTCATAGGGTTTCCAGAGGCAAGCTATTATGGAAGCAGATGCCACTCCTGTTTCCGAGCTTGTTTTAATTGTGGAGCTTCACCAAACACTGTCCACCATGGGTAACCATTCTCGCGTTTGACTCATCAGTGTCACAGTGTTTGGCTTCACAGCAACCACGAGTTACCTCTGTACAGCAAGTGGACATACCGAGGTTACATGACCTAGAAGAACGTTTCACCAAAAACAATGGCAGGCCTGAGGGCTATGGAGTAGAGTCACCCACCTTTGGCTTGGGAGCATGGCTTTCCATCTGCTAGGCCAACTGCTCTCTCTTTCTATGCTGTTGTTGTTGGTGTTGGTGTTATATAAAATAAATACTTTCATTTTTATATGTTGTTTAATTTCTGTTGAAACTATTCAATTCTGGTGTTATTACATGAAAATAGCCAATGATAAGATAAATGCAAACAGGCATGGCTATCTTCCAGTAAAGCTGTATTTACAAAAATTATAGGAAGCTGGAGTTGACTCATTAGGCAAGCTTTGCTGATTCCTGATATATGTGCTTATTCAGTTATGTTTTGTTTTTTGTTGTTTTTCTTTTTGGTGAAAAAGTTGCTCAGTATGTTGTCTATTTTAATTGAATCATTTGACTAATGAAAGTTGTTGTTGTTATATGCCATTGAATCGCTTGCAACCCTATGTACAAGAGCCCTACACCCTACTCTATCCTGTGCCAACCTCACCATCTCTGACACACTCACTCCCCACCACCACAATCACAGAGTCGATCCATCTCATTGAGGGTCTTCCTCTCCTGCGCCGTCCCTCCACTCTCCCAAACATGCTGTCTCTCTCCAAGAGATCCCTTCTTGCAACATGCCCAAAGTATGTCAGACAACGCTTCAGAATCCTTGACTCCAAGGGGCAGTCTTGGCTTCACCCTCTCCAGGACAAACTTTTGTCTAGCACCACAGCTCAAAGGGCATCAATTCTCTTTCTATCATCCCTAGTCACTGTCCAACTCTCTGATGCATAGCACACAATTGCGAAGACTATAACCCAGAGCAGGCGCACCTTAGTCTCCAGCCTGACATTGTTGTTCTTCAGTACTCTTGAGAGGTCCCTCACAGCTGACTTTCCCAATGCAATTCGTCTCTTGATTTCCTGGCTGCTGATTCCAAAAGTGTTGACTGTGGAGCCAAGCAAACTAAAACTCTTAACTATCTCAATCTCTTCACCATCCATACTGATGCTGCCAATTGGCCCAGTGGTGAGAATCTTTGTTTTCTTGATGTTGAGCTTCAAGAAGGCTGCAGTCCTTGACCTTCAGGAGCAAGTAATTCAGGTCCTCCTCAGTTTCAGCAAGCAGGGTTGTGTCATCTGCATAATGCAGGTTGTTGATG